TATTTAAGTCTTCTGGGTCGCAAGGTGTAACAGTAATATCATCCAATGAGCTTTTAAAAAGATTTTCAGATTTTAGGTCTAGATTTCGATTTGTAGCAACCTTGGATATATGATTGGAAACTTTCTAAGTTTTTACCGGGAACTTCTGCGTAACTCATTCTTTAGATTTCCCATTAAAAGTTTCCGGGATTCATACAACAAGTATCCTGAGCTTTGGATGAGGCCTATCCAGATTGTAATCACCCGTCTTCTTCATGTGACTATGACAACATTACATCAATACATGGGTTTGAGTGTTGAGCTAATGAAAAGGGTATGTTGGACAGCATTCATTTTACTTTGGTTCTACTGTTCACATTCTATGGATTTAATTTTCTAGCGACGTGACAATGCTATGGATGATCGCGCCCGTCATACGAGTGGACCAGTAAGACCCGGTCCACCATTGTTACCAGTGGCACAGAAGAAGATAAAAGATCCGCGTATGAGCAGCTCGGATGGTTGGTGATCCTTTTTTCCATGCTCCCCAGACTTCTAAGTTCAAAGGAAGTTATATTCAGATAGTGTAGATCAGTTAAGTACCGCTCGACGCTGGTTTGCTGACGCTCTTGGATTAATGGGAGCAGATGGAGCATCATTAATCGAACAGAAGGTTTGTCGATAGCTCATTTAGGCAGCTCATTAAAAAATCGTTTTTCTCTTTTTAAGGGCGATATAATTGTTCGCTCGTTTGATGAGGGAGAAGTCTTGGTAGAACAAGGTTCAGAAGAAGAGCAGCTCATCCTCGTGCTGTCAGGATCATTGAAGTTATCGCAGGTCAGTTTTTTTGGTGTTTTTTTTTAAATGATGTCATTTGGTTGATTTTTTATTCAAAATGATGGGTTGATTGTTGCAATGAAAATGAACTTTTCAATGAGGAAATATGCTTTGGAAGTGCATGAATAGAAACCTATTAGTTGCATGCTTCTTTCGAAGAACACGAGTTACGCGCACTCGACTAACTTTTTTTT